AATTTTTTATAAACTAGTGCGAGTCTTTTGCCTTGACAATTTTAAAGAAATATAATAGAGGGAAGACTCATCTCTTTCCTAGCAAGAAAAAAAGCAAAGAAAAAATGTCTGCAGCTTCTGAGTTCACTGTTTATTATGTACCCCTTTCTGTTCTTACGGAGGCTTCATTTTCATTTAATTCTATTTTTCCTCATATTGAAAAAATAAACCTCTAGTATGTATTTAATTTATTCCCAGTCTGCCGTAATCAAGTTGCAGGTAAACATATGGTTACCATATGGCAAAGTGATATTGAAAGGAAATGCTTTATAAGAGACGCAGTAGTGTGTGTACTTGGCCTAGGTAATGCTGGTTTAGCTTTTCTGTAGACACTCAGCCTCCAACCAATTTTGAAAATAAAATACTCTGGGAAATTAATAGTCACATGCGACTAGTGACAAACTGAACCATGTACTATAGAATCATGGTTGAATCAACCATGAGAAATCACGTTATGGAAATGTGAAAGAAGGAGAATAAATGGCAAGGGAAATAGAGTAGGGGCCAAAAAAGAACAGCTCTATTCAACTGAAGACGAAAAGAACAGAGCAAAGAAACTTGGTTGGCACCTTCCTGCTGTTACACGGGTTTGGGGCTGGTGGTGAGCGAGTTAGTGTCAGGTATGAGTGTATAGCATTGACCTGACCTTAAGTGGTGTTAGTAAGATTTAGTCGTAGCAAACTGATCTGTAACTCTAAGTCTGCTGAAAAATACAGGTCTTGAAACAAGGTGGATGCGGAGCAATTTTCATTCAAGTAACCAGAGGTACGTGTACTACTGGTGGAAAGCAGGCACATCCTGAGCTCCTGAGGCAATTTTGGTAAATACTTTCTGCAAACGTTTCCCCTGTGCAGATTGGCATTCATACTGTTATTCCTTGGGTCTGGCTCCCAAATTCTCCCTTCCTCTACTAAAAAGGGAATGTGTGTGTTGGACGTATCGCTTGTGTGTGAGCTGTGATATAACTGCCACATAGACAAAACTCCTTTTTCATTGTGCACTTCTTTTTGTAAACTTGTACTTTGGTTCTAATCACACGTGTAGTTTTGTGTAATTTACATAACACAGATCACCAGCAGGACTGTTTTGCTTGAGTAAATTGTTTATTTAGATGGCAAGATGGAAGATGTGTTTATTCTGAGACATAATTGAGTGGTGAAGTTTCATAAATCCATTTTGCAAAGACGGTGTTTTCATACTGTGTAATTTAGTTGAAGAGGGAAAGTGCATTATTCTTTCTTGGCTTCAGTTCCTTTAATTGCACAAAATGAGAAACTTCATGGTGACTTTTGAGATCCTTTGTGTTTAGAAGTTCCAATGTGCCATTCTTTGAATATTTGAACATACAATTCTAGGCCTTGCAAAGCATTTTAGATAGTTCTCAGTGTAGACTTTAAAAAATATAGCACGCAAGAACACACTTATAAAGTGGTTCTCTTTTGTAATTCTTTAATTCATACTTTATCATTTAAAAGCAGGTTTGGTCAAAGTTTTTTTCCTGCAGTAGTAGGTATAACAGCTTATTTTCATAGCTAGAGTTTATTACATATCCCTCTGGATTCAAATTTACTTTTATGTTTATCCAAAAAGAAAAGTATACTACCATCTTCCTAAGCCAATGACAATGATCTGATGAGAGTTGATCTCTGGTTTGCACCTTTATGCTTCAACTCAGATTTAGTTAAACACACTGTTGCCTGGAAAGATTGACATGCTTTAAGTCATTGACCTTAGGTGACAGCATTGTTGTCTTTCAGGCACAGACCAAACTGTCTTTGTCTTTACAAGGCCTTGTAAAATGGTGATGCAGAAACTAAATGTACACCCCAGCTAAGCATCTTGTCATTACAGCATGTTGGTTTGGACACAGATGTGTGTGGTGTTGAGGCTTCAGCAACACCTGCTTCCTAACACGGATAATTGGGCTTAGTCTTGAAAAAACCTCCGTGTATCTGGTCAAGTAGTGCTGTGGTGATGTGAGGTTTCCTCAAGTTTCTGCGTGTTACTCAGCCCAGAATCTTATTATGACCAAACGGCCAACAGGAAAATGTTATATAAGCACACACAACCCTCCCCAAAACATCAGCATTGTTAGTTCAACAGATAAGGGACTTGGCCATATTTTTCTTGAAAGCAAAGTATAAAAGTGAATCGAATTTATACAACATTATTAAGTTTTTTAACATCTTAAACATTTAAAGTATGAATAGATCTCTGCATGCGAAGAGGCGATAGTGGAGGTTTGCATCTTGTGGAATTACTGTAAAATTACACTAGAGTGCAGAAGGTGGAGTTGCTGAACTGGGTTTTGTGCAGTACTAGCTCCCATTTAAGAAATATGGAAATACTTTCTCTTGCATTAAGTGTTTCTAATGTTCCATATGTTTTAGCATTGTGGGAAGTTAGAATGAGAGGAATTTTTTTTTTTAAATCTAGATATTCAAATTATCTGTAGAATGCTACCTCGGCAATTAATGATTTCACTTCTTGCTCTAACTGCACAAATTTGTGGCGTGGTTTAGTGGTGGGTTTGGCAGAATTAGGTTAATGGTTTGACTTGATCTTAAAGGCCTTTTCCAACCTAAATGATTCTATAATTCTCTGAAGATCTATCACAAAATCTGATGATGGACAGAAGACAGGTAAAGCAGGGAGTAGGACACTGATTCCCAAAGTATGCTGTTATGAGATATTGCCATAACTGGGGTGCTGTTAAACTTCCTTGTTCTAGAAATTAAACTTAAAAAAAATAAAAATACTGATTTTTAGTGAGATCCCAATTCTGCATTGCTCTTGGGGAACAGCCATAGATCCAGATATCAGTAGACAACAATGGTGTGACTCTGGATGAATTGCTTTCTAAATGTTCTTATACTGCTGTAGTGGAATTCATTAACTTTGAGTGTACATCAATGCTCAGAGCACTGCTCTTGCCCAGTCCGGCAGCGGAGAGGAAGGAAAGGACAAAAAATAGGGTGCATTTTGGTTTAGTGTTACCCATTTCTTGATTACATTGTATTGGCAGACTGGTTTGGCTTACCTGTTGAAGTCCAAGAGGTGCATGTTGGTACCAAAGTTAAATTTCTTGCGGAAATTTTTCATTGACTTAAGGCTCACCACTGTGCTTTAAAAATACAAGAAAGTATAAATCCGTGTTATACTTTCACGTTAGTGAAAGCTGTTTTTCAGGCTAAGTATTTTAGTTAATTGAAATGCGTTGTTGTCCAATAACTAAAAATAAAACTCATCAAAGCAACTTAAATGACATTTCTAGAAAGGTTATTGATTGAAAATGTATATGCAACATTCAGTTTATGACAGATTAACGTGGTTTGTGACTTAAGGATAAGAATCTTGGTGAAGCTGGTACCAAATATTTTTGCAATGTGCATAAGAACAGATAAATACCAAGAACAGATCTCATAAACGGAACTATAGTTATCTGGGCTAGCAGAAAGCTTAGTAGAAGTAGAAATACACTGTAATTTCCAAAAATGTAGTTGCTGCATTTTGACTTTTTGGGCTGGTGATTGCTAGTTTTAAGTATCTGTAGGATTTGCTTATGGTAAAACTATTCCTTTCGTTGTTAGTTAGGCTCCGGTCCCTTACAAACCACGTTGCTGCTGTGCCCAGGGAACAAGGCTGCCGGAGAACACAGCTGCTCTCGCCTCAGCCCAAAAGGGGCGGTGGGGCAGTACGCCAGGACGGCTTCCCCCAGGGCTGCTTTAGGGACTGACCTCAGTTTTCACAGGGGGTAGCACTGAGGTGGCAGTGGGCTTGATTGTTTGATGCTTCGTGTCATTATTGGTATTTTGTGGTATCTTGGATTTTCATTGGTTTTGCAAATAATTTGCATTGGAATTACTGAAGTTCTGTTGCTGCTGTTTAAGGCCTTGGTGTTACCACCCTGTGTATGACTGAAGTGGATGATACTGTGGTCTCAGCTGAGCAAAACAGGCATACAAATCACTCTGAATCAGAGCCTAAATAGAGCATCTTTGGTAAATTTAGAAGTAAGTTACACCTGTGGAGGGGATTCATATCAATATGACCTGCTTAGCACTTTATATACAGTCCTCCTTGCAGAATGCCAAGTTCAGAATCAGTAGTAAGTGTGAGCTGTTGTTCTAGCAGAGCAGGATATTTATATACTCATAGCATATGAGTAGCATATTTATATACTCAGCAGAGCAGAGTAGCGTATTTTCTTGGTAAGTAGGTTAGAAGCAAATTTGTCTGCTTTTAGCATAGCCTCTGCCTTCCCAATTTTGCTTTGCATTCTCTTAAGCTGAGTAACTTAAGATGTTTTCCTTAGAGGAGTTCTAGTATACAGCAAGTTGCAATGCAATTTTAAACAGCTGAAGAAGAATATATTTTGTTTAAAAATAGATAGTCCAAATGTATTCACTTGGATGGCGCTGTGTGTATGTAAAATCTGTCACGGAGAAAGGGCAGAACTGTGTATTCCATCCCGATGGCCGTCCCTTTGTGATTTGAGACTATTTCTGTTTCAGACAAAAGTTCCCATAAGATTCCCTGCTTGGACTCCTGAAGGAGCTGGAAAAACAATTTCCGTCCCGAAGTAATAATAGCACAGGCTTTTGGTTTTGATCATAACCTGACATTTAAAAGTCATCTGAGGAAAGATATTTCTTGATTAAAGTCAAGTTTTGCTTAGTGCAGTTGTAGCTGATCTTACCCATCTGGTGTCGCGCTTCTTTATGTGGTACCTCTCGTTCAGTTGCCTGGTGTCCGCTTTACAAGACCCCATAGGAGTCCCTGACCTTCCCACGAGACCTTTCAGTGGATCGGGTCGTTCTTTTACCCTGTGTTTCGCTTGGCTTTTGCTTTCCCTGGGGAAAACTTGAAAAAGTTGCACAGAAGAGAATGAGGTGATAATCTGGCACTCACAAAGCGTATTTGGAATTGTGGCTCTGTCAGGACTATCACAGCTTGCGCGAATGGCGTGCCTGGTTTTTCATGGACGTGCCAGATCCCAACATTTTTACCTGTGGGATTACAGGCGTTATGTTTTATGTGTGGAATATGAAAGCTGAATCGTGACTGCATTTCCTGGGGTTTATTCCCTAAATTGTCAGTGTTTACCATTGCTTGCTTAATCCTGGGTGTGTAGTTTCACTTCCTGCTTCTGCTGCATGATCACTCCAAGGAGTCGCCCGTAGGTGAGATGGGCAGAGATCTCCTTACACGGATCTGGGTGAGGTACTACTTCATGCCACCGTTACAGCAATTTTAGCATGTAATACGCCCAAAGAGAGATGTAGGTATTTGTGTTTTGGCTTTCTGTGTGGTTTGTGGATTGCTAAGATACCATCTTTCCAGCTAAGAAGCTGGATTTCATCCCAAATCCTGTGAATTTCACATAAGATCAGATTCTGACAGCATTCAGACGGATTGCCAAAACTCTGGCATTCACTGAAGGCCCAGAATAATCATTTCCTGTGCAGAGAACTCACCGACACCCTCCCAGGTACAAGGAAGCTTTTAGACAACAGAAAATTATACATTTTGAGATTTCCTTGAGATACCTGTGGTTCCTGTACAAGATAAAATACCACCGCCTAGCTGGGGGTAAGTGCATTGATGATGGCAGCTACACAGGAGCTCCCAAACAAGTCATGGGTGCATTTTACAGCGTCTTGAAGGTTGGAACTCTTGTCTAGTCCCACTGGTCTGTTTTCTCTTGAGACTCCCAAAAGGCTCAGTAGGAGCAGATGAAGGTAAAACATGACTTGGTGTTTAGCTGTGCTATACTTGGGATCTCTTGTAAATGAGGAACTTGGGAGTTGAGTTCACCAGATGTCACCCACTCCGAAGTTTCTAGAATTTGCAACCTGGAGCTAAAGAGGTTGCTAGATCCTCCAAGATCTGTGATAGCAGATAAACAAAGGCACGTAATGAATCTCAAAGACATGGGTTATTGAGAAGGAAAGCCTGAAAACTTTTGTCAACAGAGTATAATTCTACAGGGAATGAAGCTGAAGAAAAGATCACTGTCCTGCTAGGGAAGTGACCTTCGATCAGCCACGTTTTCATGCTGTAACTACTGTGCACGTTGTTGCCCCTTATGTGCCTTTGTTCCCAGGATAGATCGTGGCCTTTATCTCCACAGTAAATACAGTACTAGATACTTTGTAGAAATTAAAACTGGCAAATTCCATGTGTTTTATGTCATTTGGCGTTCTGCACAAACCCCGCTTCAGTTTGTCATAAATTCCAAAACCAGAGCAAGGTCACATCTGGTAGCAATTTCAGTCTGCCAGATGAGGCGTAATCCTATAAAACTGAACTGTTTCTCCAGCGCTTTCCAAAGCCCAGCTCTCCTCTCTGGCTCCCTTTCCCTGAGACAGAGCACTTGCCCTGTGAGCGCTGCAGAACGATTTAGGCTGACGGACTTCTCACACCTTATAAACTGTAATTTTTGGAACCCAGCTTTGTATTTGATACATAAGGTGGTAAAAGCAAGTAAGAGCGTGGAAGTCTTCATGCTAGCAGGCTGCGCTTCGTAGTTGTTTTCCTTTGCAGTAGCATGGCCCTGCAAGATGCATTCACCGTGTTCTTCCTCAGTATTTTGATGGAAGCGCATCTCCTCATGCTCAGAGCAACCTCTCACCTTACGTATGGCAGAGCTTCTAAACAATCCATACAGAGATACTCTTTGGCATTTTTTTTTGGAATAGTTATAGCAAAAGTTAGGAGGTTTAATTAATTAAAGATATACATGTTGAAGATTGTAAAATATTAGATGCATTAGCAAAGTAATGGAACAATCATCAAACTTTGTACACTTCTAGTAATGGAAAATCCCTCTAATTCCCAGTCACGTGGAAGTTTAATAGTAGTCAGTGGGTTAATGCGTTTTATCATGTGCCCGTTGTCCCATTATATTTTGGTAATGGTGGTTCTTTTGGTACCTCATTGCCTCTATTACTTTAGGCTTTGTGATCCGGTTTCTCAGAAGGAGCAGCTTACTGTGACTACTAAGGGTCTGGTGGTGTGGCTTTGACTCGGATTTTTTTGAAACTGTGGTATGTTATAATGTGTTAATAAATCAACAGAACTTAGTTAAAAAATATTCTTTTAAGGTTTCCTAGGTCTTGCATAAGGCCTTCCAAGGCCTGTTTGTGCAGGTGCATGGCAGTGTTTTTTTCTCCGAGGTGGCCAAATGTAACTATCTCTTGGTATCACATGAATGATACTAAAAAATCCAACCATCAAAACTGAAAAAGCTCATCAGAATTTTAAACAATTAGTATTGTTACTCTTTACTGTTGCAAATGCAAGCAAATAAAATCCATTGCCAATCACCTTGCCTATTCTGATTTTTGTGACCTAATTTTTACCCTTTTGAACCTGTTTATTCACAGGGCAAATATCCTGACTTTGTGACCCTTCCAGAAGGACTGCTGGGAGATCATATCATTCTGAGGAACCCCAAACCTTCTGGGTAAGCCAATAAATACTTTTCTTGATTTATGTGCATAAAGGATTGTGAAATGCATATTGACAATCTAAATATAGTCGTTCTGCTTGAACAGTATGTCACCCTTAGCTTTATAATGCCTCTAAACACAGAGATTAGATGATGTGTGTTACATTTTAGGGCTATAACCACACCTCCAAACCCCTAGGAGGAAAAAAAAATTAAAAAACTAAATGTACAGCCACATGCATGTGGCCTTGTTAGACAAGTCAATCAATTGCATTGTTACCATGTGTACTCACTCGTTTTAAAAGCTAGGTGGAAAAAAATAAAGGGCTCTAGCAGGCTTTTCATTTGCATTTTAAGAAAAATGTGGCAGGAGGTGCCATGATGACAAATTGCTGAAGCAAAGCACAGTTCTTTAGTTGTCTCGCCATGAAAGAATGGAAAGAAAACTGCAGTTACCATGTTACTGAAAGCAACTGTAGCTCTTTTTTCCACGGTTTCAGAAGGGAATCAGTTAGATGCCGGGATCATTGCGCTGCCAGTCATTATTACTCTACCACACAGGCTGGATTTGTTTGGGCTCCCTGCTAGACATATTCTGGCAGGTTTGTGTTTTTAAATTGAGTAAAAAAAAAAAAATCCTTGAAGCTTCATATAAGACAATATTATCACTGTCAGGAATTCTGTAAGGGCCAGGAAAAGTAACTGTTTTGTGAAGGGATCAGGCCATTCCCTTCTCCCATTACATCTTCCCTAGAACATGCATTAATTTGTATGGAAACAACTGGAAATAAGGCACAATTCCCTCTGTCGTATTTGTTTGGGGAACTAGCAAAAAATAAACCTTCATAGATAGCGCTGTCTCCGCACTGTAGTGCCAAATCTGCCATTTAAAACTGAATGCTTTAACTTGGGGTTGCTGAAATTAATTGTTGTTAGACCGTCACAGTTACAAACTAAGCTGCTTTATTTTACAGTTCCTCTTCCATGTTGACAGGTGCCAAGTTCCATCACACTTTCCCTCTTACCCGCAATCGTGTAGTAGAAAAACTTTAAAATTATTTCAGTGGGCTGGTAGAGAATTCACTTGCATATCAGTTTGTTTGCAAAATCCCAGAACAAGCTGCGTGCAAATTCTCAAAGGATTTTTAACAATGCAGTGGGCAAAAAGCTGACACGTCCCATTTTAATAAAAACGCTTGCAGTCGTGATTGGTCTTGTAATGCAGATCAGTTTTGGATTAGGAAAGCCTTCCTTTCAATAAGGAGAATACTCCTAAAAGCAGGGAGTGGAGGGGAATACCAAATACAGTAAAGCAGGTGGGATGGTATAAAGCAGCACATCTAATGTGAATATTTTTCTAGAGTAAGCCCTGTGTACTTGACTAGAAAAACTTTTCCCCTGCAGAAACCCCTTGCTTAATTGTGGTGTAGTCATCTTGTCCCCTTGCCAAAGCTGGAAATAATAATTAGCCTTGCAAAAACACTCTTGAAGGAGTAATGATGGTTAAAGATGGGGGGCAGGTTTAAGAAAAATTACAAACAAACAAATGCAGGAATCCAGGGCTTGGATTTATTTATCCCTATGCATTATTCTAAAAAGGCTATGAACAGTATCAGGGTGCCCCTTATTCCAAACCAAGAACTATTGGTGCAAATGTCTCTTCTGAAAAAATTGTCCTTGTTTTCATCCTGTATCGAAGCACAATACCTGACCACGGGGTGCAGATGCGATGGAAAGGGCTGGCCAGGGGGATGGCTCGCTCTCTCTCTTTTTCTTTCCTATCTGATGTTTTACCATTGCAAACTTACCATTGATGGGGGAAAAGACAAGAACCAGGAAAAAAAACTTCCTCAGGGTGAAGACTTGAATGTACCTGGAACCCGTTCCTTGTCAATATATTACTGGTTTTCCTTGTATCCTTGTATCAAGTATTTCTGGTTCCCGAACACAGAGACGGGTGAGCTGCATGGAGGTGAACTTTAAGAGCATAATGAACGTGAACCTCCCCAATCCTGTACTTTCTGCTTTTAAAGAAACCTTAAACACAGTTGCCAGGTTAACACTTAACTAACTCTTGTGTGCACATGATGCAGGTTTGAATTAATGATTATTTGGAAGATACACATAGATAAAGAAGGGAGAACTACGCCTGTTCTGGACCTTCTGACTAAAGTACCGGAACAAGGTAATATCATTGGCTCCTGTGTCCATTTGCGAGCTATCGGGTAGAACACCTGTCCCCTTTTTTTGCCCAGTGTCTCTTTAGATTAAAAGCAAATACGTCTTGCAGAGCTCAGCGAGGCAAACAAATCCTAATTTAGCAAGCAGCTACGCTGCACCTCCTGTATTGTTCCTCTTCTAGACAGCAGATAACCAGTTTTATCTGAAAATGCATTGCTGAGAGCTCTTCCAGAATAGCACGACTGATTGAAAATAATGTCTACTCTTACATTTTCCTTTACAGTCTTGGAGCAGAATATGGCAACTATTGAAGATGCACCTGCCCGCTTCCGAAGCATGCTGCTTCTGTTTGGGATCGAGACAGCCATTGAGAACCTGATCAAAGTGGTTGGCTTGGAAAAATGAATACCAGCATGACTTACGACAGGTAGCAATTTCAAAAGTAGTTTTAATTAAGATATTGTGTTACACAGTCTATAATTTTATTGAATATAAACATTAAGTTATTTTCCATTTAGAAACCATACTCATAAAACATGCTATCTGTACAATTATGGCACGTTATATATAAATTGTCATGACATGAAAATAAATACAGCCATTTAAATACAAAAATGCCAAATAAAATAGTTACATGTACAGAGTGATTTCATTATAAATTTATCTTTCTGTATCATTAATGTACCAGAGTGGTTTATCTTCTTAACATTTTCTAGATACCTGGAAAGTGTTAAAAGATCATGCACTGTCAAAATCAAGTCCATAAAAATCCATTTCATTTCACAGCTCTGTAAAGTACAGTGATTTTAAAATGACAATAGAACAGTAAGAGACTCCTAGAACAAAGAGTTAAATAGCTTTCTCATTAAATTAGGGTGGAAGTAGACAGTTTGAAGATTTCAAAGACATACTATGCAAAAAAAGGAGGGAAGGGAGTAACTGTATAAAGTATTTTTTTTCCACAATGTAAGTGTTGAGACAGCGTTAAACTAAAGAAGAAAGGATCACTACACTTCCATAAAGAGAGATGGGTGGGTTAGCTACTGCTTACTGCAGTGCTTTATTTTGCTCTTCTACTTCTAGAGGAAAATTCTAGTAGGTAAACACATTACGAAAGCATCACATTTCATACATTCATCCCTGAAGAAACAAAACAGATGAGACAGATGTCTTGTTACCTTCCTTCACTTCCGTCTGATGTACCATTAGCTCATTTATGAACTCAGCGGTTTTCAGGAGAGGTCCTGCTCTGCACTAGATGGCACAACCACATGATGGCCTTATGCAAGCCAAACCGATACGATTTTAAGTCATGTCCTTCTCAAGCAGGGAGCAACTGCTGTTGTTTCTGGAATCAAGGGGTTAAAACCACCAACTGTGGACTCTTGCTATTAAGAGACTTCCTATTCAAGTCCACGGCTGCTCTAACCATGCAAGCAGCACAACTGCCTGCTCTGTTTATGAAAAAATATTATATAGCAATGGTGAAATAAGAGGAGAAATCATAGACCTAAAGCAACAGTATGTTTGTAAATACCAAAATTTCAATAATCTGCTATTTGATCACTGAAATAGTCTCCTACTGTTCTGGCAGGTCAGGAAAAACTGACAGATGAGATTGGCTTCTGTCAGAATCTACAGCTGAGCAATGCCAGAGATTTAAGTTTCAATGAACAGCAACTCTACAATAAAGTATCTTGTTAGATATAAGGCAGACGAATTTCAAGTTTGGAATCCAGTAGACAGGCAAAAATCATTGCTGCTTTATCGACTGACATGTTACTGGTTCAGCTAGTTTTGTGTAACCTTTAGATTATTTCCTCTTTAGCTCCTTCTAGCATGAAAATGAAATTGTTCAATCAGCATGTACACTTCTCTTTGCATACAAAATGTGTGTAAGGTACAGCAGAAAAGCCTGAAAACCTTCTGGGTGTCGATAGTTGTTCTTTCCTCCCTTGTTTAACAGTTGGAAGATTTTCTGGATTTAAAAATAGCTTGTCTCTCTTCCCCAGGTTTTCTTTGGAGAGAAGGGGTTTTTACTGCTGTCAGCTCCCAGCTTATTGCACTGTTGTAGTATCGCATTTCAGCGAGAGCAGCCCAGGACCCTGCCCTGGAAAGGCACCAGGAAGCGAGTAGAGACTGCTGCTACTGGGAGTCACTGCCCACCCCAACGCTCTGCTGCTGTGAGTGGTGTTACCCTGTATTTCTTATTTCTTCCTCCAGTCGTGCCAATATATATACAGAGAGTTTTCTGGTTTTACATTTAGAATTACAGGTAAAATTCAATTCAAACACTACACTGAAATTCTTCTATAAATATATTCTTTTAAATGTTAACCTGCATTATTTTGAAAAAACCATTACCAGTAAGCACGCACTGTATCAGGGTAACAGCAGTTCACTGCAGCTTGAATAGCATCTCTCTGCACATTTTGGGGTGTGTAACCCCTACGTGTACAAGAAAAGCGCCTGTAGACTTTATCCTACTACCCTCAGGTTATCACATACCCTCAGTTTCCAACTCAGGATCTTCCCTGAGGATGGCTTTTACTACATCATTAAATAGCTGAAGTACTGATACAAGCTTAACTCCAGTACTCATCATGAGACAGCGACTCTCTGCAGCTTCAGGAAAGAAAATCAGATACTGTCACCTTTTTTCTGTGTCACTTAAAAAGAACGAGCTTGAAACAGCTGAGCCCGCTACGCAGGGTGTGGCATATCAGTGAAATAATGCCAGTGTTTGACACAATCTGAAAGACCTGAAACAATCTGTAAAACTCCAAATGTATTATTCTCATAGCTTAATTGAAATTAGGGTAGAGTGAGCTGTGGTTTCACCTTCAATAGCAGCATATAATATACAGAAAATAAAAGACCAGTATGTCAGAGGAGTTAGCCCAGCTATCACATTTATCTTGAAGAGGCTTACCTTTAACCCCTTTCACTTAGTTTCAGAAGCTTTAGGTAGATACAAGGTGATCACAAAACTTCTGGAGGCAGTCTGGCGTTCTCAAGCTCATGCATTAGTACTTAAAAGTGTTCTGCTGTAACACGGTACTTCCACAGATCAGTAACCCTTGAGCAGCCACTTTGGTCGTATTTTCAGTGGACTTAATGCTAAAGTTGCATTATTAGGTTTTGTCAGAGGACTCCCTCTTTCTGGGAGGCATGAGGGAGACTCAAAGCATAAGCTCCAAGGCAATTCTCTTGTTAGTAATTAGGCTTTCTATGTTAGTGCAAAACTCAGGAAACCTTTAATTCTGTGCTCTTTCAATTCTAAGGAAGTAGACTTTTAGTATTAATGTGATCTGTCCTCTAGTTCCAAGGTATGGCACATTATCTGTTCTGTCATATTAAATACATTCATTAAGGTTATATAGCAAATGTGTGGTTTAGTGCTATTCCATGTCTTTGAAAAGGCATACTGATTAGAAATCATTTCTTAAAGCAAAAACATTCACAGCTGAAAAATGCACTGAACACGATGGGGGCGGGGGGGGGGAAATCACCATAATTGTATTCCGTTAATCTTCCACTTTCTAATGTGTTTGAATAAAAATAACCCTAAGTAACAGTTAAACTTTATGGAGAACTAATGTGCAGTCTTCATTCTCCTTGAAGAGACTGGACAAAACTGGGTCATCTTTGGCCTGTACGTTCTTCAAATAATAGTTTACTATCTTGCCATCAAGTTTGTACTGGTGAGGAATGCTTTCATATGGTTTCAGATCGAGGTCCAGGACAGAAACAGAAAAGGTGAATCTTGATTTGGAAGTTAGTACCACAGGTCTTTGCTCAGAGCTGGGAAACAAAACCATATTGCACATCTGAGTCACTGCAGCTAACATCTGTATATCCTGAATCCCCTTGCAAAAGTGACTCTAATGTTTATCTCAGAACCTTTACGGGAGCCAAAGAAATACATTTCAGCTATGGCAGCATTTAGGAAACGGTAGCTCCAGCTTAACCAGTCTTAAAGCACCTGGCAGCTTTTCTGATTATTTTCCTTTCAATTTCCACACAGTTCAAGTCAACACATTACCCTCAATTACTGTGTCTAATCTAGGTGATCTGCAGGCAAAGCAACAGCTTTATTAACTTGCAGAAGCAGAAAGGATCACTGCAACTCCTACTTACGTTCAAAGTAATACAAATTAAGTATCAGAACTAGTGTCAAACACACTGAAGGAAGGAAGACTTATTAATAAGTAAGTCAACCACTGCACAAGTCATCTCCATCATGAGCATTTTATTCAAGAACTGCAGGGCAAATGCAGAAAACAATATTCTCGCAAAATAACAAGGCTTTGGTAAAGGAAACTCTCCTACAGAAAAGCAGACTATTACTGCTGACACAGCTCATCATGGATAAATAATACTGTGGCAAAGGCTCCTGCCTTACACTGAAAGATGTCACTTCTTTTTTATTGCCTTGTTTTAATTCTAATTAGGCAGTTAAAGGCAACTCATCATCAAAAATCTCATAAGAGGACACCAAGGCAGAAAAATGATACCTAGTTTAAACCATGTACATCTACTACCAACAGTCAATTCAGATTTCAAGAAGGGAGTAAATATAAAACTTTATTCCTGTTTATCAACTTAAAACCCTTCAGAAACAGACATTTATCCTAAATATGTTAAATCAGAACTCTACCTTATCAGTATGCTCACAGCCAAATATTTGGACACAACCCCCCCTCAAGAAACCCTACTTTTTTTCACTGTTAGTTGAATTGACCGAACTGTGCGAACGTATCTTCAATTCCTAAATGAGTAGGAGTCATGTAAGACAGGTCTCTCTTACCATTCATCTTGTAGACAGGGTGAAAGGGCAATCATGATGGAGCAGTCCTTAGCAGTCATTGCTATTCTGTACTGCTGCACCTGTACCACATAAAAATAATCTAAATTTTCTCTTATGCTTGTATTTGCCTTTCGTAAAGCATACTGTTCTTTATAAAAGGTGTCGGTATACTCAGTGCATTAGTACGCTGGTACTTCAAAAGCTGGAAACTATCTCTACGACAGACAGTTAGCAAGAGCTAACATCCTGTATAAGAAACATGTTTATTTCCTATAGATACTATTATATTTCCTAGAGATACTATTCCTACAGATCTCTCCTGGCACAATTAAAAACTTTAACCTTACAGACCTGACAAGCCAGCAGTGATACTAACAAACGTGCTATCCATCCATTTGTGTGTAATGGATGTTTATTAAAATTAACAGAACAAATAAGCTTCAACATCACAGAAGTACCTTTGTTAACGCAAACGCTACTGTCCCATCATCTTCTGTTGAAAGATCTATCAGCTTCTCATAAAATGCTTCGTTGTAAGGTCCATCTATCTGTAATGTACTTCTAAATAAATTTTAAAAGAAAATTCACAGACAGGCAAGAGGCTGAGTTTCAGTGAGATCTCTCTTCAGCAGCCCATTACAACAAA